CCAACAGCCAGGGTGGGTTTAATCCAGGGACTGAACTGCTACAGTCATGAGGCCGGAGCAGGGACATCAGAGAACAGGCATAATCTCTGTGAAGCTGCCTCTCCAACAGGCCTTTTACAAGTGACTCTGTAAGGCCACATAATTTTGATTTAAAATTGGTGCTTACCACCAACGTTACAGTTACTGTGAGAACTGGAAGAGTGCATGCCAGAATGATTCAATGACCTAGCCTGGGAAAGGGCACAGCCTCTTCAAGGTGAGCAACTTGAAAGCTTTATTAGATATTAAAAACAGTATTTCTAAACAAGCTGAATGAGTGTTAAGCTAATCTGTAGACCAGTTTAAGTTTCCATAGAAAATGTAAAATAAAACTTGGTAACAGTTTGCCTGCAAGACTTCTGGAGTCAGTTTTCTGTGTACAATGAAGTTCTCCAAACTCTGTTCCATTTAGTTCTTTGCAGAATAAAAGTGGTGATTCATTCAAGAGGCTCTACTGATGGTACACATTTAAGGAGGTTATGAACACTAGCAGAACCCTGAGAATGAATTAAGCCTTTTTACTTAATCTGTGGCCTTTAATAGTTATTTTTAGTATAACCTATTAAGGCTTAGTTTAACTTTGTACTTTCAAACATTAATAAAGCTAACTCTCCCTCTGCATTTTTTCAATAGCAAAACTCATTTCAGAGTTACACAGTACTATTCCTCTCAGTAATGTCAAGTCCACAAACCAAGGACACCCACCTCTTCTGAACTGTTCACACATGATGCTCATTACTGCAAAACTGCCATGAAGTAGAAATGTATTCAGTTATAATGAAGCGCAAGAAAGTGATACCCTGATTTTCAACATCTGTACTGAGAAGAGCTGGTTTGGGTTGTTGTTTTGGGTTTGGTTTGTGTTTGGTTTTTGTCAAAAGAAGCAGGTACTAGCTTGTGCAGTAATAAGGACAGGCATTTGATATTGCTGTTTATTTCTTTTTAAAAATTAGACAATTGTCAATGTATTATTCCAGCAACATGCTACTAAGCACTCTATACATTCCTTTCTTCAGAATAATTCTAACTAGATCTTGGCAGGGATAAACTGAATAAGAATTACTGACTTTAATAGTACCAATCAAAATTAAACCAGCTGAGAACTCCTCCCCTGAATCTGACATGATATTTGTGTGAAATTGGACTACTCATATTTAATACTGTGTTGTCTTAAATACCTTTTGAAATATAAACATCTTGTTTCTCTATTAGAAACAGTTGTGTGTATATTTTTTCATCTTACTCAGAACAATAAGATAAAATTTCCATGGGCATTAAAGGGAGTTTCAACTAGGGTTTCATAAGGCATGCTTTAAAATAGTGCCTGAACCAGTTCTTCCACTGAGTTCTTGATTAAAATCTACATACTTTCAATAATTATTTTCAGCAGTGTAAATTATGTGTCCTCCAAAAAGTTCTAAAGAAAACCATTTTAATTCAAACTAGTTTGACAGCCTAATATGCAAAGTAAAACCATAGGATACTAAATACTTTTTGAGATTTGTCTGCATACCTACAAACAAAACTTCCCTCAAACATCCCATGGAGCAGAAACAATTGTGGTAGCAATTAAAAGATTTTTCAGTTGTCAGATTCAAGGTCACTAGCTAAATTATTCAGTCATTTTTACTTCTACCAAAACCAATCTCTTACAGGCATGTATGGTTTTGAATGTTGTTTCCTAAATTGTTTAGAAGCACACTCTTATATTCTCTATTTTACAGTGTTGTGCTTTTTTATTTATTCATCTGTACCATTTTTTAGCTGAAAATTATTGTTCAATTTGTACAAATCACCCATGATTTAAACTGTATAATTACATTTCATGTAATCTCACAATTTCATTGGGTAATTAAATGATTCTCTACAGCTTTTTTATCAAAAAAAGCAATATACAATTAATGACTCCCTGTAGGATTCCCACCAAGCATTGACATTACATATTTAAATACACTGGACCAAATCCTTGGGCACGTCTGACAAGTTGTGCAGAAATCAGACATGCATGTGAAAAGGCTCAAAGCTCACCTTTCACAGAGGGCTGGCTCCTACTGCAGGACTATATCCTCATCACAGAGAGAGGGAAAAAAAGTGTGAATGTCTAAATTACATCAGCTGTACAGACACAGGGGGCCTTCATGCAGAAGGAAAGCCCAGTAGCATGCCCTCTTACTTAAATTCTCCACCATTTACTATGGTATTTTAGAAGCGCATAGGGAAAGGGTGTATGGAACTTTATAGCACCAGAGGATTATTTTTAAAATCCTCTCTGGGCAAATTATACTGAATTTAGGGCCAGTTTAGGGCTGGTATTTTAATTTTCAGGAGCTATACTATTCTAGAGGATCTAGCCCGTATCATAGTGCAAATGTAACCTCCTGTATAGATACCTTCTGATAATAATAAAACAACATAACCTTAACAAACAGAGGTACAGTTTGTTAATGAGTCATGGTACATTTTACTCAGACACCTAGGCACCTTCTTTCATCGCTGAGCCATCCACTTTTCAGAAAAAAAATTTAAAAGTAACATTCCTTTGATAATATTAAAGTAGATGATATGATTTTTTTTCAGTAAATTAATAAAGTACAGTAGAAATTGATTTTTCCAAAGTCATTTCAGTTTAAAATGGGCTGAAAAAAGTTACAATGTTTAATGATAATTTCAAATAGTAAGTAGTTCACAAACATTTTGTTCATAATGAGAAACTCTGTCTGTAACAAAAAAATAACTGTATCTTCCAGCGATTTACAAACAGGATTTTAGATGCCACCATCACCTGAAGTTCTGTTGATGATGCCTTGCACCAACAGAACACTGTCCTACTGATGGTCAGCATTCATCTTCTTTATACGATGAAGCAGGGCATCTTTTTCCATTTGGACCTCAGCAAGAGCCATTTTGGCTTTGGCTAGTTCCTGTTTGAGACATTCATTTTCTTCAATGAGCTGAAATGATAAGGTTAGAAAAAAGAGTGTTATTAGTATTCCTGCATACTGAAAACTTTTTCCATTACAGTAACTTTAAAAATACCATGTGCTCACATTTATTGCTAAGTGCACATTTGTTGGGGCTGAGTCAATTCCCAGTCAATGAGTGTAGAACATGGAGAGAGCTGATGCAGTTAGCTTGAAAGGCAAGATACCCAATGTTTTAGCTACACCATTTCCATTCTGGAGTGGAGCAGAAATGACACCAGGTTCTCAGCTCTAGGAATGGATTCTTACCCAGTGTTCTTACACAGCCAAATTGATGTGCGGGTTCTCTCACCATCAATTCAAAATCCAGGTATAAGTGATAAGTAAAAGTCTGACTCAACAGTCTAGTCCTTTGTCTTTGGCACTTGTGTTGTACAGGGATGAGGGAGATAGGCAGAAGGCACTTGCTCCCTCATAAAACTCCCTCTGATGTGAAGGAGAAGAATTAGTCTGCAGTGTATTATTACCCTAGTTAGAAAGTGGTATTAAATTTATTTTGCATGCCTAAGTACTGAACCATACTGTAATATCCATAATTCATATTTTCCATCTCAAACAGATTTCTAAACAGAAGTAACCCCCAAGCCCAACCCCAGATAATCTAACAGTTATGATGATTAATGATTGTAACATCATTTTGAGGGGGCAGGGCTGAAAGTCAAAAGGAATTCTTAATACCTCATTTTTAAGGAAGTCAGCTGAATCCCTGCTTGATTTATAAGGTCTGGGAATTTCACAAGTAGTCTGCGTGGCTTGGTCCTGTGTTTTATGTCCAACAGGTCCAGTTGCTTGCTGCAATGCACTACTGGAATTCTTCATCTTTGACACATCATTTACTCTTTGATTGTCTATATCACAGAAAGATACTTAAGAGTAGTGCTTAGGGGTGTTCGTAGTCTTTTTTTTTTTTTTTTTTAAAGTTTGATTCTCATCAGCACAAAATTAAAGACATCTAAACAAATATACTTGTAATATTAAGTGCATTTATAATTACCTCCCAAAATCTAACTTAAGAATAAAAAAATAATTAAAAGTCATATACCCTTTTGGAGGAAGCAATATGTAGCTTCCAGCTTGAAGAAAATTATCACATTTTTATACTGACCAATATTATCACCACAGAATATGCATTCTGAATAACTGGAAGTTTGAGAACTATTAATATTGCTATTAATATACTGTCTCCAGGTCAAAATCAGATCTGAAGACTGCATTTATGTTTGAAGACACAGTGAAATAAACCTGCAGGATCAAGTTTTTAAATCAGAAAATAACTTAAATGACTTGGCATTAAAGAAACTTTCTAGCATTTATAACTGTAGCACACTGTATTAAAATACACTGCTGTACACCAAGGGAAAAAATGAATGCCATGGTTCTTAGTAGTCTAAAAAATACTCTGGGTTGTTTTTTTTTTCTTTTTTAAACATTTCCTTCTAAACAACAGTTTTCTGTTCATTACCCCCTCCTCCCACCAGACACACGTGAAAACTCAAAAATGTAGCACTGCAGATACATAAATCCCTGTGGTGCAGATAGCATTTGACCTATGCCTTTGAAGTCACTGTACCTGAGCAATCCATGACAAGAATAGGGATCAAAGCACTTCAGCAAAAAGGGGAAAAAGTATGAGCTGAAAGAAACCTTAAAACTATGTATTTTCTCACTAAATTACTATTTCTTCCAATGTTTAGTGTAAAAAGATGACCAAAATGTATTGAACATCTTTAAACACTAGAACAATGTATTAGATAATGTGGAGAAATTAAACTACAAGCAAATCATGCCACAGCATACCTCTGAGAAGTCTGGTCCATCCTTGCTACACCTTCCCATTAGCTAGGTGAAGGGGGCATTAAGATCACCCTGCTGCCTCCTCTTCCTCAAGTCATACAATATATTGCATATTGTTGGATTAATATATTCAGGACCTGGATGAAAGGCTGGGTGCACCCTCTGCAATTTTGTGAGCAATACCAAATTGAAGGGTAAGTGACTGACACACTGAGGGGCAAGGCTGTTTTTCAGCGGAACCTGGACAGGCTGAGAAATGGGCTGACTGGGGCCTCATGAAGTTCAGCTGAAGCCACTGTGAAGTCCTGCAGCTGGGATTGAATAACCTCTCACTTCACTACAGGCTGGAGACCAACTGGACAGAAAGCAATATTGCAGGAAATGGCCTGTAGGCCTTGGTCAACAAGAAGATTTATCGTAAGTCAGCAGTGAGCTCTGACAACAAAGACCAGGCACGTACAGGCTGTGCTAGCAAGGGTATAGCTAGCAAGTTGAGGGAAGTTATTATTCCCCTATACTCAGCATCAGTGATCTAGTATTCCAGATACGGTCTCCGGTTTTGGATTCCCTGGCGTAAGAAAGATACTGACAGCAGAGGACCACCAAGATAACTGTGGCCAGGAGCACATGTACAAATGAGGGGCTCAAAGAGATGCACTTGCCAAATCTGAAGATGAGAAGGCTACCTTTGCCTACTTAGGGTATAGAGGATATGGTATATAGGGAAGGGTATAGAAAAGATGGACCAGACTTCCCTGAGGTGCTTGGCAAGTGCTCAAGCACCTCTGTCTTGAGGTGGCAGGACAGGAGGCAACAGACACAAGCTGCAACAAGGGAAATTCCAATTAGACATTACCAAAAAAAATTAACCGTAAGGGTGGTCAAACACTGGGACAGATTATTTAGGGCAGGTTGTGGTATCACCTTTTTGATGCTCAAAACTTGACTGGACAGGGCATTGAGCAACTTTATCTAATCTGCCCCTGCTTTGAGCAAGAAGTAGGACCAGATGACCTTTAGAGGCTTCTTCCAACCTAGATTACTCTGTGATTCTTTGACATATCTGTGAAAGACAACAGTAAAGTTCCAGCTCTAAATGTATTGCCTTGTTATGAGTATTTAGTATTTGCCCATACAGGTAGAAAAAAATTGTAAGTGTATACATGTTTCATGAAAAGTACAAAGTTAAATCGCTGTTCGAAATAACAAGTCTCAGTGCAAACCCAGCCATGAGCTGCCAGGACACCACTGTAATACACAGAATTGAAAACTGCTACTTGTACTTCAAGTAGTTTTTTATTTTACAACATCCTCTATTACTACCTGTAACACAAACAAAGACAACAGGTAACCACCTTAGTAATCTGTAAAGAAAGGCAATTGTTTTGTTTGGTTGTAGTCAATCAAAGGAGCCTTAGACATATCATGACAAAGTGATATGCACTGATGAAGCATATCCTGATGAAGTTACATGCATATTTTTATTTCTTTCAGATTGATTCAGCTGTGGGTTGTTATCACAGCCAATACACTATTCCAAAAGGTAATTTTCCTCATGTGGCTACACTCAGAATTAAGGTATATGGCAACACAACTTACACAAATTATCATCCATTATCTTTTCATTATTAGTCACATGTCTGCACAAAGGAAAAAAACAGTATTAATAATACTTAGGTTATAATATTGAGATATCAAGGTGCAGGAATATACAAACCTCTAATGAGAAATGAGCCATCATCATTTCTTTCTATCCAGAGTATGTCAATATGTAGTTTTATGGGTACCAGCTCAGATGCCTTGAGATTTTCACGTGGACTGTCATCCTAAAAAATACAAGTATTCAAAAATGAGTTTACCAGGAAATCAAAATAGCTAATTAAAATGTTCAATTAAACATAAGCGGATTTAATGAAACTGGAAGGGAACATTTCAGAGTAGAATTGTCTAATGGGATCTCCACTAAACTTTTGCTCCATTTTTTTCCAGGGGATCATATTAAAGGCCCAAATTTATCTCTGGAGTAAGTCTGCTGAACTCAATATATACAGTCTTACTAAAATACTTCAAAGTATTTTTACAGCCATCTCAATAAAATTATATCCCAACTCAAGACATTCTTTAGCTCAGGAGCTCTCAGAGTCAGAGATAAGAAGCCTGCACTATATAGTATCTGATTTTTCCTTGAACTATTTAAAGATTGAATGGGTATAGCTATCATTCTTGAGCGGATTTTGTCTTTTTAGAATTTAGTTTGGAATGACGCCAGCTGCAGTTCAGTTATATTATTGTACTCAACAGAAGAGAAACTTCACAAATTACTTCTTTTGGGGTCTCCCCAGGAAGTCTTTATAGTTCATTATCCCTGTCAAGAATAACAACGCAGCCAGTATAATCAGGAACTGTACATATCAGCATTAAGCACGTAACAAGAAAGTTGTTGAGTTGTAACTGCCGAAGTTTCTTGAAACAGCACTAAGATTGCAGTAGGAAAATTCTTCCCCCTCATGAAACACACTGCATCAAGTCTCATGCAGAAGAAACAGAGGAATGTACTGCATTGAATAGGCAATGCAGCATAAATTTGAACCTTATCTTCCCGCTCTTTATTACCCAACAACTCTGTAGAAATGAATCATCTGTATGTCAAATTTGCAGTTTGTCAACCATCATGAGTCACTTCACTGTGACTTGTGTGCACTGCTGAGTGAGCACTTCGGCGCTTTCGCTGCCAAGCAGACTCTTATTGCCGGCTTATTAATGTATGTTCCCCACCTCAAACAGCTGCTTTCTCAAGAACGTTTTGCTTAAGTCTGCCTTCCTGCCGATAAACCAGCACAATCCTGTTTTTAAATTTAAATCACTATATATTAAGACTTTCCTTTTTGCATTTGGGCATTCATGTTTGGATACACTGAAATCTGAGGAACTGATCCACAGCTCTTACAGAAAGTGCTTGTGCTACTCCTGTAGTGGAAACAGCCCTCAAGGAATGCCTAAGGATCCTCAGGAGATGGAAAAGCTGCTTCATGGATGGAGGGAATACTGATGCACTTTGAGGAGAACACCACAGAGATAACAATTGCCTTTCCAGTCAACAATGATCTTAGTAGAATCAAGGCCTTAGCCCCACATGCAGAACTGGAGCTGCTATTCCAGTCCTCACTTTGTTCAAAGTTTATATGGGTGATTATTAATTTCCAAAGCAATGTTATAATTATTTTATCTTCATGTTCGTTTGGTTTTTTGTCATCCCTGCCCCCCCCCCAAAAAGTGTCCTTATCTTTGTATTTAATGGTTGTGCAGGACAGAACTCACCATCTCCTTTAAATGTCTAAAAGAAAATCCCCTAGGAGACTCGAGCAGGAGCGTCCTCTTAATGTTACTATTTTAAGCTACAGTGATGAGAAAAGCTTGCATTATTTAGTATCTGTTTCTAGGTAGGGCAGAACATGAAATCTGGGTTCTAAGAAACGGTATTCAAGTGGTTTGAACTGGAATTCCCATAACCTTTTTCCTTCTTGTGTACTGAACTTTCATTGCAAGAACTATCCTCTAAGTAGGATAGGGAATTAACCTCTAAAAATCTGTGTTTTGTAATTAGAAAACCATTACTGTGCTAAGCAAAAAAGCCCAACCAGAAAAACCCACATTGCATCTCCAGAAAGTTGGTATACCTCACCTATAAAACTCCCAGATACTGTCATGCTACAAAAGAGACTGGGAGAAGAGGAAAAAAGTATAAAATCTTAATTCATATAAATAGCTTGGTCATGCAGATAATTCCCCTCTAGGCATACCACAGAGCTAACCAAATCTATGGATTTTTAAATTGTTTTAGTGTTATCTAAAGACATTCCAGAGTATGATAGCAGTTTCTTTGAAGTTAACTGTATCCAGATTAGTAGTTTATCATCAAAGAAACAAGAACACAATTTCTTTAGAGCAGCCAAATAGCTCATTGTTAACATACTTTTAAATTAATCCTTGCATTAGAAACTTTTATCTTCATAGGCATCACTTCTGCAACAGTTTCATCTTCTAGAAAATGCTGAATGTTTGTGAGGGAAGACGTTAGAAATTCAGCACTGAAGTTCTCTACATGACACTGAAGAAAACCGTTTTTTACAGCCAGGAGAGAATGTATGACAGCGCTAGGCCCACTTTCCCATCTCAAACTAATCTCAGGTGATGAATTAACTGGTCCAGCCACAGACTTACAGTCAGAACCTGTTGCAAAAGGAAAACAAATTTGCATTAAAATTTTGCAATGTACAAAAAAGGAATTACGGTGCGATTACTCCTACCTCTATTGTCCAACTGATTTTCCAAAAGTACTTTAGAAGTATTATCCACAAAATACAGCATTGCAAATACAGAACTTCGGAGCAAATTTCTAAGTATATCACTTCAAAGTACTAAAGAGAAATAAACAGTACATACAAGGACTAGTACCTCACTGCAACAACAGAAAAGGACAATACAGAAGTATCACCGTGCACAAAGAATTTGTGTTTCTTCAATGTTTTGATGATGGAAAACCAATTACTTTGCATACTTTTCCACTAACTCCTTCAATTTTAATTCATAAGAACATTTAAGTCAGTTCACTCTCTCAGGAGAGCAGGTATTCTCTGGGAAAGGCAGAATTTCCTGACTCAGGCACTTACTTGCTAACACACAGGAACAGAAAGAGCAAGCAATGCCGTTGAGATGGAGAACACGGCCACATGGTGCTTCCATTAATTGGGTGGTAGTAGATTTGAACCTTAAAAAACCCCTAGCCGTTTCTTGTTAGTTTCAGTATCTTTAACCAGTAAGGACAACTGCAATATTCAACTAAACAGTTCTAAAAATAAAATAAAATAAAATAAAAGATTTAAGTTAACCAGATATCAGGGACACACACATACACAGAGCCAGTATCCACTTGTTGTACAAAAAAAAGGATTCACCACCAGAAATGAGAATCCCATGGGATTCTCAAGTAATTTGGTCACTATGATGGCTGACCTACAGAAATTATCTGTATGACAAACAGCATACTCATAGTAATTCACAGTAATTAAGAAGGAAACATTGAAACTTGAAAGATAGCTGAAATTGGGTTCCTCTTTCTGTATGGTGCCCAGTTCTCATGGATGACCTAGCGCAGCAGTAGTCAGGGCATAAACACATACCTATTGGCACTAAAGTCAGGGTAGATGAACATATCGTCAATCTGGGTTGACAAAAAACAATGGGAAGAACTATAAACGGACATGAGAATCTTCAGCCTCTGCTGCAAACCAGAACCTCTCCTTTTGCTACCTCCGTGAATAGAGGTTTCCACAACACTCACAGCTGTGACTCCATCCTTCAATCCTTCCAATGTTTAAGAAGTGCTAGATGTCACATTTCCCCCACCAAAGAAAATAAAAAAAAAGCAAAAAAAAAAAGCACACACTGTAAGTATCAGGTACCTTTTGTAGCTCTAGTCCAGAGAGAAGAGAATTAGCTACCAACAGTCTTTGAGGGGAAGGGCAAGTCTCCAGATGGGAGAACAATGACCACTCTGTCCAAGGAGTCTCTGCACTTGGTTTGGGAAACTGTTTCTGTTAAGGATCTATATTCTTCCCACAAACACAGAGAAAGAAATAAGCAGTGTGTGCCCTAAGTATTTCTGGACCAGAAAAGAGTGCCTGCATCATTGCTGGAAGAATCCACCAAAGTGTAGAAAAACAGCAGAAGACAAGAGCACACATTCAATCTCAGCCATGAAGTCAATCTTGTTATGTCACAGATACATGAAAGGGGCACAGACAAGAGAGGATGGAGTAAAAATTGCATTAAACAATTTGGAAGATGCTATGAACTGCTGTTCCATTCTCCTCCAAGCATGACAAGGTCTCAGTAAAAGCACTGTCCTTCCCAGATGTCCTGGTTTCGGCTGGGATAGAGTTAATTTTCTTCCTAGTAGCAGGCATAGTGCTGCGTTTTGGATTTAGTAGGAGAAGAATGTTGATAACACACTGATGTTTTAGTTGTTGCTAAGTACTGCTTATGCTAGTCAAGGACTTTTCAGCTTCCCATGCTCTGCCAGGTACACAAGAAACTGGGAGGGAGCACAGCCAGAAGAGTTGATCCAAACTGCCCAAAGGGCTATTCCATACCACGTGACGTCATGCTCAGTATATAAACTGGGGGGGGTTGGCTGGGGAGCAGCGATCGCTGCTCGGGAACTGTCTGGGTATCGGTCAGCGGGTGGTGAGCAATTGCATTGTGCATCACTTGCTTGGTATACTATTATAACATTCAAGGTCAGGTTGGATGGGGCTCTGAGCAACCTGATCTAGTTAAAGCTGTCCCTGCTCACTGCAGGGGGGTTGGGCTAGATGACCTCTAAAGGTCCCTTCCAACCCAAAGCATTCTGTGATTCTATTACTATTATCATTCTTATATTGTTATTATTATCATTACTATTTTACTTTATTTCAATTATTAAACTGTTCTTATCTCAACCCAGGAGTGTTTCTCACTCTTACTCCTCCGATTCTCTCCCCCATCCCACCGGGGCAGGGGGAGTGAGCGAGCGGCTGCGTGGTGCTTAGTTGCTGGCTGGGGCTAAACCACGACACCAGAGTACCTCTGCAATACTCCATCCCCCCCTTCTTTTGTTATTGCTGCCAGACAAGATCTGATAAAGGCAGCCAGATGTGATAAAGGCAGACAAGATCTGATCCTGCAGCCAACCCTGCAGGGAAGTGCACAGCTGCCACATTGCCCTCAAACTTATTTCAGCTATTAAGCACACTTCTCCCTTTCTACACATACTGCACTAATGGTATAGTAGGTTTTAAATGGTTATTTTTACCCAGAACACCTTCGTAGACTGTAATTATGACTTGATTATTCATTGCTTTGTATGGCTCTTCATTTTACTGGTTACAATTGCTAATTCAGCACTTGAGTAAGTTTTATTAGAGGTCTTGGAGGGGTTGCTTTTATTGGGATATTTTCTTATGCTTTTGCTCACTGGTTCGTTTAGTTGTATTTTGCTACCATTAACTCATTTAAATTGTTTCTTTTGATCTACTTCTCAAGCTTTTTCCCAACCTTGAGCCTCTGGAATTCTTTTTTTTTTTTTTTCTCCCCTCAAAAAAACCTGTTTTTTCCCTTAGTTCTTCTATTAGAATAAATGTGGGAGATGGGGAGCAGCAGTGGCTGCAGAAGATTCCTGACTCAGTATAGAAAGCACAGCCCTACAGTAGGGAGAAGAAAAGATCAGTGGAGAGAAGAAAAGATGTACATTACAGAATGGGAGTGTACAAAATGGACTGATGTACAAAAAAAGTGTTGTTGGCCCACCCATCCAGATACCAACCAGAAAGAGAAGGGACGAGATGTAAGTGGAAGTATTTGGAGATTCCAATCACAGTATAACCTTTTGTCCATAAAATAATCAGCCAGTGCACAAGCCTCTCACAATCTGCTGAACCAGAGGAAGCAGGTTCTAGTTTTAGATCCACATGAGAGCAGGAAGGTGGCATGTTCTTACTATTTACTCCCTCTTGCTTTTACACAGGATATGACAGATAACCAGAAATCAGTTTGCCTGCTGTATGAACTGAAGGTCAGACATGCGTCTTCCCTGCTGGACCTCCCTCTTGCCTTCAGATGCCTGAATGCAACTACAACATCATACAACAGCTGCTCAGGCAGCAGCTGCTGGCAACTGCTCAGCTTACCAGTAAATGGGTTCTTTAGCTAGGGCATCAGAGGTTGTACCACCAAGCACAACTTCCTGAAGAAAATCCATGCTGCTGGAAGGCTGGAAATAAATGGCAGCCAACAGCTGCTATAGTTGTTTCCTGGGAAAGGAGATGAACCAGAAGCAGGAAGCAGGTGCATCAGGGATCTGCCCCAAAAATCCTACAGTGCAACAAAGCTGGCATCCAGCAATCCATGTGGAAGGCTGGCAGAGGGGAGCAAAGCAAACTGTGACACGCCAATACATCATGCCAAGAAAAAAAACTCACAGTATGTGAACTAGGTTTTCTGGCAGAGAATGTATATGCACTCATGCCCAAGAACAGCTCTGACAATACAGTGGTTGATCTAGTTGTGCAAATGTCTGGCATGAAACTACACTCTGTGTTCCTATCAAGCTTTATTTTGAGACAGAGAGAGAGGAGAAAAAAAGAAAAAAAAAGAAGGAAAAAGAAAAAAAAAAAGAGGGGAAAAAAGAAGGAAAAAGAAAAAAAGAGGGAAAAAGAAAAAAAGAGGGAAAAGAAAAAAGAGGGAAAAAGAAAAAAGAGGGAAGAAGAAAAAAGAGGGAAAAAGAAAAAAGAGGGAAAAAGAAAAAAAGAGGGAAAAAGAAAAAAAGAGGGAAAAAGAAAAAAAGAGGGAAAAAGAAAAAAAGAGGGAAAAAGAAAAGAAAAGAGGGGAAAAACAAGAGGGGAAAAAAGAAAAAACAAGAGGGGAAAAAAGAAAAAACAAGAGGGGAAAAAAGAAAAAACAAGAGGGGAAAAGGCTGTCCTTGCAGCTTATCTTTCCTGACAGAGTCAATTTTTAACTTTTCTTAAGCCACAGATTATAAATCTGTTTAAACTGTGGGTGTTAATTTAATCTAGAGAAACAGATCTTGAAGAAAAGAAATAGCCCTTCAAACCAAGGTACATTTAAGCAAAGTATTGTTAGAGCAGTAAGGGTGTTCCATCTTCATAAAACAGTAACATAATATAATGAAACTTACTTGATTTAAAAAAAGCAAACTAATGACCAGAATTCAATGCAATGCATTTTTTTACCCACACTATCAGAAATGGTTCCATTTTTATTTCCTTCCCTTTTAACGTAAGGCAATTATGAAAGAAATCAGAGTAGATATTCTAAACCAGCATAAAAAGGATTTTATAAACATAAAACTGGTTTTGTGCTTTAACACTAACATGTGTTTTATTTACTTAGAACAAATGTTTCCAACTCCAGTTTCACAACACTGAGATCTCATTGTTAGTTCTTACCAACAGTTCTGTTGCAAAGATAGTGTCGAACACTGATATTTCCCAATTGATTTGGTATCACTTGGTTGACCTGTAGGCATATTTCTGTGTCTTCACCTCTGATGTCAATTTCACCATTAACACCAAATATTTGGAAAACCACAACAGACATCTGTCAACAAAATCAAGATAAACCAATGAGATTATAAATTGAATTTACAGTGGTTATTGTTTTTTAAGTTCTGTCTAAACCTTATTCCCCGCAAAAGGAAAAGAATCTTTGTATCCATAACCCTTGCTCACAAAAAAGGACAAAGTTTTCTCATTTCTTCTCCTTTTCTTTTTGTACCCATTGGCTTGACAATGGGTTGCTCGATTGTCTGTCCAAAGACAGACACTTGTATTTATAACCCACTAATACCAATTCAGAATTGGCCAGAAAAGCCCTGGAAGTGAGACAAGACTTTCCCCACTCTACCAAAGAAGCATGTGACCTATGTCACACCTGAAATTTTCTAAGGCTGCATTCAACTTTATGCATATCATAAGCACAACCAAGCATTTGTGGTGCTGAATCAGACCAGGTTAAAGAACCAGGATAAGCTACTAAACTTTGGCTATCTGCATAGTAGTCAGCCCTTTTTCTCTATTTATTGGATTGCAGTATCTTTCAAAAAGAAGTAGCAGCCAGTTTCAAAATTCAGCTTTGGTATCAGAAGATATTCGTCTATCATCATTACTAATATTTTGGGCTCATTTTTCTAATGACTTTTTAGTTATATTCTACAAGTACAAAAAAATATGCTAATACACATTTGCATAACACTCAATGAATTGTGTTTTTTCCATATTACCTATATGCACAGACAACTGAAGGAACCAATCATTTAAGTGAGCTGCTTTTTAAAATTTTTTTAAAATGAAGGTGATCCACAAATATTTTAAAGCAAAAGTAGGATTACATGACTAACATCACTAAAAAGGAAAATCAAACAAAACATTAAAAACAGACTAAAAACATTACTAAAAAGGAAAAACTAAAAAGTCAGCAAGCACATAACAGATTTCAGTAAATTCGCTGTCTTTCTTTGGGCCCATATACTCTTAGGTTTCCAGTTCATGACCTTAACTGATACAAGAATATAATTTAAGAAGCATTGATTAGGACAAGGATCAGCAAGGAACAAGTAGATAGGCAGATGGAAAAAGTTGAACCCTGCACAGTGTCTCAGGGAGGGAATCTCTCTCTACATGCACTGTTCTTATAATCTTCCCTAAAAAACAGGCATTGTCCTGACATGATCCTGGACAAGAGGCATCTCTGATCTGACTCAGTAGGGCAGTTGTTATGCTCCTATTTGGAAATACTACAGAATGCTACCAGTACTGAGGAAACATCTCCATATAAGAGATGTCAGAGTTATGATGCTTCCTTTTATCTATACTTGATGATGTTAAAAAGCTCATTTTAAGTATCATATTCAACAGCATAAAAGAACATAGTGATATTACAAAATATTGCTGAAGTGGCTACTATCATTTATCAACAGTGGCTATAGAGGAGATAACAAGGACAGGGAATGCTCAGCGTAACTTGTATTACAATCTTCATTTGTACTTAATACAAGTGCACTAGATCTATAGGCTTACATAATGCACTAACAAAAGCTCCCAGAACTACTTGAAAAATTACCTCTCAAAGCATTCAGTTTAGCTCTATTTTAAGGTTTAATTTACTGAAGCATGTATTCTAATGGAATTCAATAATATTACCATTTCTTCACTAGTCTCATGGGCATTCTCTGAAGCAGCGCTCATGCCATCTGGAGATGACCCATCACAATTTTCAATCACTGTGCCTCCTTCATGGGCATTTTCTGATGGGCTTTGATAGTTTGTGGCTGTAATACCTTCCGTATATACATCAGAAAAAACGCAAAGTTAGCATAGCATAACCTGAATCACTCCTGCATTAAGAATAAAGTCAGTGTTTGTTACTGTATGCATACATTAACTCATTTTTTTAAGATGAGTTGAATGGCTTATTAAACAAGTATTTTATGATTGAACTGCCAAATCCATTCTGCTTACAGAGAGTTCAAAGTTCTAGATGCTATGCAAGTAAGGCAGGATATAGTGACAAAACAAAAATGGCATTCTACATGCATTGTTTAAAAAATTGTGAGGGGCCTTTTTTAGTCTTCCAAACATAAAACTGATCCAGCAGAAAAAAAAAAGGTTAAAGATTCCAAGCCATGTATCTGAAAGACTGCACAGTGCCTCTAGAGCAAATGTTTGCGGTTTTCTGTTTAGAGAAATAAGCTATATATATATCTTTGTTAGGGTGATCATGGTAGTGTTTCCTTGACAACTAGAAAGTATGCAGACTTAACCTGCAGTTAAATATTGCTTAACAAGCTAAAAAGACATATAAGGGTTATTTAAAATGGAAAATGTATTTTATGGCATACTCCCACATAAGCACATGCAGGAATACTCCAACAATCCAAATATATAATGGGTTTGCAAGTGAAGCATTCTTCTCATTATTGCTCTAGACTGAAAAGAAATCCTACAGAAAAAAATATTGTCATTCTTTATTCAAAGTAGAATTTATCAGAAAAGAGGTACCAATAAAGTCATCTTATTGTATTTCCTGACATTTGAAAACTATTTAATCAGTTTTGCCAGAGAACTACTAGATCATTACAATTGCATAAGTCCGCAATACTACAGACTATATAGACATAATTACCATATGCCTGAATTCCTCCTTCAGATCAGGAGCAAACACTCATGCACAGATGAGCAAAAATTGGACAAATACCTGCTGTTAGATAGTCAATAGCTAGGAACTGCTCCACAAGGAACAAGCTGCAAGGAGACTGCAAAATCAATCTGCCTGGTAACGGTGAGTATTAGTGAAAATCTATTTCTTTTTTCATCTACTTTTAAAATTAAAGCTTCTTTACCACTTCAAGCATAACACTGATTCCAGGTACAAACCTGTTAACACTTACAGCCAAAGCAACGTCTTTTAAGCAAAGCAGGGAACAGTTCTGCTTAACTCAGAGTTGCAACACAGCACTGCAATGCTTTTACTCTCCTCAAGAGAGGAAAATTAAGTAGTGTTTAATTAAGTAGCACACCTTATTGCTTTCCCTTGAAATGATGTGCTGTGAATATACTGGATATTACTGACTGGAAAAGCTAACAGAACTAGTGCTGTAAATTATCCAGGATTTGCTGCACTACAATCCTTTTGAGTATTGTTTTGGTAACAAACAACATTTTCATGTATTGCTTAAAAATATTTTGTTGAACCTACTTACCTTTCTCCAGAAAGCTTTGGCTGTCACTTCCATCACTCTCTATCAAATGATCCTCTAGCATCATACTATCAATAGAGATGGTATCCAGAGAGACTTGTGATGGACTTCTCTTCATATTCTTGTAAGAAACAGAGAATGCAGGGAGGTTGGACGGGCAGCGGTCCTTAGGCTTTGCACTTTTTAAATATAAAGATATCAGGAAATTATTATTTCAAATTAAAGGAATTACATAGAAATTACTTTAAAAAACTCCTCTAAACCAGGCAAGATATAAAAGAAAAAAACCTGATTATTCAATAATCCTTTGGCAAGAAAAAGAGATAAGCATAGAAACAACATGCATTCCTGTAGGTATTTGTGTCAATATTTTTCTCAATACATATTTCATAACATTTAAACTGAAAGTAAATAGTTTAAATCAATTAACTAACAGTTCATTTTAGCTTGCACTGAATGCTGGACACTGTGTATCTTCTATCTATATATACTTTTAAAATTTTCATCTACCAGATATTCACTTCTATTGACCATTACTAAAAGTGTGCAGCCAATGACTGATAAATATTTTCAAATAGTAGGAAAACTGATTTAGTATTAAATCTTCTATACCTTGATGAAGACTGGGATGCAAACATTCTAACTGAAGTCACTTTCTCTTTGTTGATTTCAAGCTCTTCAGATTCTAAGGCAGTTTCTGTTTCCAAGTCAGTGACTTGGTTAGGACAGCCTTCAGTTGTGCCTTCCTGTTGATTTAACTTACTTGAGAATACGTTTTTGTCATCCTCTTTATCAACGAAAGATTCAGTGGAATCTTCTCTCTTATTTAAAACGGACGCTGAATCCCTAGGATGCAAGCTACTTTTCTCACTTAGAGGTCCACAGACCTCCTCTGAATCACTTCTACTAAAAAGTCCACTGCTTCCGCCTTCACTCGTATCTCCCAAGCCTTTATCTGATGCGTCATCTGAAAATGATGTTCCTTTCTGAAAATCCGTATTACTGTCTGATTTAAACAAAAGAGGATCTATTAAAATTCCTTTATTAACTTCAGCATTCAGAGGCTTGCAGTCATTTACATAATCAAAATTAGCAATACCAGCTTGCACTATCTTATTGCCAACTAATTTACCCTCCGAAGTAAAAGCTTCCCCATTTCCCAAAGGGGAGAGTTCTGATGCCATGGGACTTCCTTCTTCCACAACTGGAGACTTACAAGGGTTTCCCTGAGTCACTGGATGGAGTAGTAAGGCTAGTTCTGCACTTTTCAGTAGGAACCCAATGCAGACATCTGTTTGGTTTGCAGGTTTTCCTGTCACTGCTTCTACATCATTCCTTAAGTTTTCCAGGAGCAATACAAGAGATTCGTGAAGAAAAAGCAAAAAAAGATACTGGTAATGATTGATCTGCATGCTTACATGTTTTTGAACATGGACAAGAACATGTACATCTGCATCAGAGGAAGAGCTTTCAGAAAGCACTCTTGAAGTGTCAGGCACTTGAATGCCATTGGTTAAGGACTCTGTCTCACTGCTGTAATATTCCTTTAGAAGTTTTTTACGTTGCAGTCTGTTAGCAAGATCACTAGATTCACTTTTTGGAATGTTTAAAGCTGTCTTATTATGCAATAAAAGCTCTTTTTGTGACTTTGCAAATCTTACTGGCTGACAAATCCAAAGTGAAAGTGGGAATGAGTCCACAAAGCTTATCGGTCGGCCTTTCCCACTCTTCGTTCCTTCGTAATCTATCCAAAACTGGGAAAAATGCAAGGCCCAAACATCAGTAGCTGCAGATGTCTTTAATGCATATTTATTCAATTTTGGTATGATATAACCTTTATAAACATCATGCATTTTAGTATCTTGTTCATGAGCATGTCTCTGGAAGATTGGATGCAAAAGATTAAAATTCTTCTGGGACTTAGGAAAAGTGGTGAAAGTTCTACTGAAAAATTCACAGTCTTTGAAGTTCTGAAACAAAGCTTCTAGATCAGAGTGTCTACAGTTTGGCGAGTATCTTGTATTTGTAGCAATCATCTCTGAACTTTGAATGGAAAGTGCATGAGGTTGATCTTTATGAATTTCAGGCTTGTTTTCAGATGGGATGATGAACTGCAAGAAAGAAATATATTTCATCTAGTTAGAAATATGTAGATTAAGAAGGTATACAATTAAAGAAACAAATTAATACCCATGACAGCTAAAACAAAGGAATATAATTATAATTTTATGAGAACTCAAGTATACCAACACAGAACAGGGATAAGTCAGGGTCACAGATCAGCATTTGCGTTTCCTCTCATCTTTAAGAAGGATGCTGTGGCATCCAAAACTCGATGTTTGTACAAAAACATTAAGGGTCTCAGGCTCTTCTTATCTTAAGGATTTAGATTTAGGCCAGCTATATTAGGCCAAAGTGGCTCATTTCTTCAACTTGGAAATAGCTTGGTAGAAAGTTTCTTCCAGCGTTCCAAGTACTTACAACTTTGAACTCCAAGTTATAGTTGTCTGGTTTTCAATCTGATTTGTCAAATAGGGTTTTTCACTACACTGAGTACTACAGTATTTTATTTCTATGTTGAGATACAAGGAAACAATTAAATGTGCTAACACAGCTAATATTCCCAACATTGCAGAATACAGAATATGTATTTTGTGACCATTAGCTGATAATCATAATAAATTTTTCCATCATAAAAATAAAAATATAGTCCAACTCCTAAAAAACAACAATATAGTTCAGTATACTGGATTTAGTTTAACATGCATATCTTTAGTGTAAGTATTAAAGAAAATACATATTTTATGCCAAATCCTGTATCTGATGTTGTTAATTGATGTTGTTAATATGGACCTTGGACATACTAGTTTTGCTAGTATCAGCGACGCTACCTTCTGTCACAACATCTCCATGCTGAATCTAGAAAGATCGGAGTAAAAAAAGTCACCCTAAAGACACTTAAAAGATAGGAGCGATGAGGCTTCTTTGTGTGTATAAAAGGACTCAGAACAAAATAACCCAATACATAAAACTACATAATAATTAACTATATGATATGTTAACATCAAGCACACCAATAATAAGAGACTTATAATTTGCTAGAATGAAAATAATGCAGTTAATACAGCGATTAAATAATTAATATGAATCAAAGTTTGAGGGATTTAAGAATACTTCTACTTTTATCTTATCTTAGTTTAATGGGCTATTCATGTATAGTAATTCAATATTAGATCAGTCTGTATTTGTAGTTGCCTGGCTGTTAGCTCTCAATAATTGTTTTCATTCAGTACAAACCATGTCCTTTTAAAGTTCCATTAAATACGCACCAAGAGCCTTAGGAATCTCTCCATATGCTGACTTTTTAGAACCCTTGAAACCTCTCCTGTGGGCACCATCGAAAAGACTCATTGTTTTGTTCGCCTCTGACCCTTGGAAACCAATGCCCAATGCAAATCAAGGCAGGGGAGAGAAATTGTCTGCTCGATAATCCTGCTCCTCCAAAGAAGGATAAGACAAGGGAAGCAAAAATCTATGTTCAGCTGCATTAACGATCGCCACTCCTCTAGAATAAACATATAGAGAACTTGTGTACCTGAACTACAGCCAAGGGCCAGCATGAAATGAAACTGTGAGAATGGGTTTTGGAGAAGGAAATAAACCTTCAGATGAACTGCTTTCTTTACTCTATGCATTCACTAACAGGACAAAAGACTTTTGATATACTACAACCAGAGGAACAAGGGAGGGCCCTTGCATTAATAGAGTGCAAATATGATTTTTTGCTAGTTTTTTTACTTCAGTGCTCAGGTTTTTTTCTTCTGCTGTCAGCTTCATTGAACACAGTGAAATAATTTGTTAATACTCCCATTCAGGTCTTCAATACAAAACCAAAATACCCTAGGACACAGATGAAGTAGTATGGAAGACAGATATCCATCTTCAAATCATCATATTCTGCATAGTTTTCCAGAGCAGCATTGCTTATTGCATGGGTTGTTTGTTCATTTACTTGTCCATTTATTCCTTAAGCTGCTTTGCTAACAGCTTTTCAGAAAAGTATTTTTTTCCAAGGAACCACAAAACCCCTCCTTAATGACAGCATACCTTTAACATTAGTCCATCAACTCTAACATCAACATGTTCATCTGATTTTGAATTGTCATTTAACTTGTACATGGCCATGAACTGAATAAGACTCTGTTTCAAATCCAACACAAACTGATTTAGCCAAAGAATACTTCTCTCATCCAGGGTAAACTGTAAAGCATTCAGCTGGCCATACAAATTTGGACATGGAACTAAAAGAGAAAACAAAACAAAATAATGAGAATAAGTAAAATGTTTAGGGGTTTTTTGTTGGTTTTTTTTTGTTTTAGTTTGTTTTTTTGTTGTTCTTTTTTTTTTTAAATAAAACCACTAGTGCAGACTTACATTTTCACCAGTATTTTACATCACAGAAAGAATGGAAACCCACTCCTTTGGTCCCAAGAAAGAATAAACTGTTAGGGGATACCTAAAGTGATGCTTCCTTCTCTCACTCCAAATAAGTAACTAAATTTTTGAATGCAAAAGCTAATGTTAGAATAGAATGAACTCTGAGGAGAGGGGGAGAATGTCCTCATTACAGAGGAAGGGCAGGACCAAGGAGATTTGCTGTCCTCAAGTCCCATCCCCAAGAAATCCACTGACATTTCTGTATATAAAACAGGGCCAGCCCCATAACACTTTAATAAAAATAACTCCAGCAGATCTTTGTCGCATCTTAGATGCTACTGCAATAGTTTGAGTTCTTTCATGTAGCCACTGAGTTCTTTTACGTAGCCAGACAGTGAAACTGCAGAAACAATGCAGGTAAGTTGGAGAATGAATAATTTATGTGTCAGTAAAAATGCTGTGTTTCCAGACTTAAAAACCCATGTTTATAAGAAACAGTATTTATAGGAGTTTGACAGGAGCAAGCACTGTGGAAATGGAGCAGTGCTGTGTTCTTTCCATTTTAGAAAGCCATTACCTATTTCCAATTGTCAACCTGGAATTAATATTAAGCTTCATAAAGTTGAAGGTAACACAGAAAATTCATGATTCGGTACAAAAAAAAAAAAAAAAAAAAAAGTCTTACTAGGAAAGTCCTTTCCATCTGGGTAATAATACTCAGTGAATTCAATATGAATAGCTGGCATTTCTGGTGGAAGGTAAAGTGACTTTTTATTGCAAGAGATCAGAGCTTTAGGGGAAGAACGACACTGGTCTGCTGTTGAAACCTGTAGAAGATAAAAGATTAATTTCATTAATACATTACATTTTTACGAACCATTAAGCATTTGTAGTTGCAAGGCAATGCCCTTAGTAGGGTAACATTCCACTGCTCTCAGATGTAGATCCTCAACTACACAAAGTGCTGACAATGAGAAACACCTAATTGCCTTGTAGTAGAAGCAATCCGCATAAAACAGTTTCACAATAAAACTATATAGTATTAGCGGTACCAGATCCCCTTCCTTCATGCGAGGCAGGAGGCAGCAGGTCACTTTCAAAGACATTCAGTAGAAGCCTAGAATGATCTGATTTATTGCAAACACTACAGCTCCTGTATAAGCAATTCTGCTAGGACATGATATATTTGCATACTGTTTGTCCAAAAGGACCCCATATCGAGATGATAAGGGATAGATAGGCTAGATAAGTTTATTACACAAGTGTTAGGAAGTCCTTGTACTGTCATAAGGACAGATTCCAGTACATGGGCCAACTCTGAATTGTATACTGCTAAGCAAGGTGTTCAGCATGCACCTGGCAGAGATATGTATGCTTGGCTATACCCAAAGGTCTACTTCACGGGGGAATCAAGACACTATAGAACAGTAATCCTCCATTTCTGTTTCCTTCCAATGTAAATTATGAAACAAGGAGGAGATCACCTTTTGATATATATTTGACCTTAAATTTCTTGGAACGTACCCTAGTTTAAAAAGTATGTTGTCAAAACAAAGCTCTTTCAACCAACACTTCGTAGGTCAGACTGCTAGTTTAAAATTAGCCAACTTATTAACATTGAATATGTGATGACGTCTACTTGTATTAGTTTCACTGGAAATAATGAAAATATAGCCTTTATAAGCCTGCTTCACTCTATGTAGCTGTTTTCAAGCTGCAAACATCTCTGTATTAACATGCACAAAAATTCAAGTAACAACAGATCTATTTAGAAAAACAGCTTTTTGTACATTGTATAAAAATAATGACAATTTAAAAAAATTGACAATGTATTTGTGTAGGGAGGAGGAGGAGACAAGCATCTAAAGAGCAGAAGGCAAATGAAAACACCAACAGTACAAAATGATATTATAAAAACACTTCAAACCCAGATGAAGGCTCCTGGCAGCAAGCTGCAGCCTCCCACTCTACCAGAAGCGATATGGCAAAAAAACATTGAAAACTGGAACAAGAGCAAGTAGAAGTCACAATGACTAAGGGCACACACTAAGCATTTTTGTTAGGACCTGAAATTTAGATTAGATCCTACCGTATCACTATGATTCTGCCTTAGCCATATACTCCTTCTCTATTCCCTGCCTTAGAGATGTACTCCTTCTCTATTCCAGTTGCCTCCTATCTGCACCAAAGAGTGAATCTGGACCACAACCACCAACTAAAACTACTCACTCAAACAAGGCGGAGGCGGGGGGGATGATGGTTAAAGTGTTTACTCAAAATATCACTGGGGAGGGAGGGGCTGAAGAAAAATTTTAAAAACTCTTAATTTAACATTTAAAAAAAATCCATGTACTTTGAAAAAGATAACAGTAAGCAATAAGAAAAGCATGAAATACAAAAACACGTATTAAAATATTGGGTACCTAACATAGTAGAATGAAAAGATGAAATTCCAAATGTCAGGATTTGGGGAACAGTAGAACTTGGATCCAAAACATAGTTGTGATAGGGTATCATCTAATATAAAGTCGATAAGAAAATATCCACCAATTTTAACAAAGCAGAAGCAGACCCATAAAAGTCTAATCCAATAATGAATGGAAAGACTTCTATTAATTTCAATGGGCTTTGAAATTGTCCTTTAAAAAACACAGTTATGTAACAGTCAAGGGCAAAGTAGCCCCAGTTTTACTAACTTGAAGAAATGTACCTGATATATATTGAAATCTGCAAGTCTAACCACAATAGGACTAGACATCAGTTTGCCCTTTGGTTGTTGGGAAGATACAGAGGAAGCCCTAGATGTTCCTTTCGGTATCTGTTCCTTGCCTGTAGGAAAGAATAGTGATGGAATCATTGAAAAGAACAGTCTTTTTTACAACACTTTTAACATTTCATGGAATTAGAGCATTAGCGATACAAACAAAGTACCTGTTTGTAGGTTCTGAGGAGACACAGCAGGTGGTGATTTGGGAGGAGAATCTATGACCTGGTCCTTCACAGCCTGCTTAAGCAATTCGACATTGCTTTTGAATTCATTTAATAATTCTTTGGCCCATCCACTTCTGGTTTTAGTGGCATCACTATAGTGCATCCAGTGATTGCAGCTGTCTCCTGCAAGTAAGAGGAATGGAAGAAATATTAACTCATTTGAAAGTTTGTTTCTAACTGGATAACAAGTTTCCACTATTTTACAATTCTTCAAAATATAATCTCATTGCATGCTGTAATTACAGAACAGAAGTTATAACAGACGTTAAAAAGAGAAATTATATATTACATAAAAACAAGTCTCACTGCTTCACAAAATCACTCGGAAAACAATATTGCCACCCGCCTTTTAACACCATGTCCTGGTTTCGGCTGGGATAGAGTTAATTTTCT